TCGTGCCACGTGAGCGCACCCCGTGTAGCTTGCACAACATAGTACGGCGCCTGTTCTGCCATTGTCGTGGCAAGTTTGAGCCAACTCCTATTGACACTTTATGCACATGGGCTGGGTACGTCGCAGGGTAATTTCTCAACATCGACCCTGGAGACCTCGATCCATTCCCCAGGACCAGGTCTTCATCCTCCGTCGTCTTTGGACGGCCCCGAGGACCGGCCAGGGCCCCCCGAGGCCCCAAACAGCGAAAAACCTGCCGTCGCGATGTTGGTACGACTCGCGGGGGTCTGGGACTGTGCCTGCGCTTGTTGCCTTAGATCGGGCACGTCCTCCTACAGGCGGATTTTGAATGACAAATGCAAACGATGCCCAAAAAGTATGCCAAATTAGTCAAAACATACTCAACAAATCGCCCCCAGACGGTTGTTCTACTACTTTTGATTCTTCCCCCTGTAGAGGGACATACCCGACTTGAAGCGAGCCCCTGGAAGCCGCGCGCCTCGGCCTTTCTCGGGAGGCGCGCGGGGCGCGGCCGCCCGATGGGCCGAGTCGGAGCGACCGACCGACGATCGCCAATCGACTGTCGACGACGACGACGACGACCGACCGACGACGACGACGACGAACGACCGCCGCCCGACTGAAATAAAACAGGGCTAGGATCGGGATAAATCGCTCCAGAGCGTTCCGGAGCGCTCTCAGAGCGTTCCGGAACGCTCTGGAGCGGCCGCGGCGCCCAATACATCCTCCAAACCCGCCGATTCTCAGAGATCTCGAGTTATCCCGATCCGATTTTGTCCCGATCTTTGCGTCGTCCGATGAAACGCTGCCCTCCCGGGCCTCCGCGGCGGCAGGCCCGCGCGGCGGCGCCCCCGAGCGCGGCCCGCCTCCCGCGGGCGCGCCCTCCGGCCGCGGCGCGGCGCCGCCGGGCCGGGGGGCGGGGCTCTGCCCCGCGGCGGGCGCAGGGCACGCGCGGCGCAGGCCGCCGGGCCCTGTCTCGGGGGGCGTGCGCCGAAGCTGCTCCCATCGTCCGCCTCCTCCTCCTCCTCCTCCTCCTCCTCCTCCTTCCTCCTCCTCCTTCCTCCTCCTCCTCCTCCTCCTCTCCTCCTCCTCCTCCTCCTCCTCCTCCTCCTCCTCCTCCTCTTCCTCCTCTTCCTCCTCCTCCTTCATCTCCTCTCTCTCCTCCTCCTCCTCCTCCTCCTCCTCCTCCTCCTCGCCCTCCCCTCATCGGGTCGCCTACGGCGCCGGGGGAACAGGGCAGGGCCACGATGCTGTAAACCCGACAAGTAAGGATGGGCAACCTTCCCGAGGCTGCCCCGATTTTTCAAGAAGCGTCGGGGGGCGCCACCCCCGCCGACAGCCCCACATCGACCCCCGTCGCGGGAAGCCGCCGCACGCCGAGGGCACTCCGACCCCCGTCGCGGCGCGACGACGAGGCGAGGCTGACCCCCGTCGGGGGGGTACCCCCCCCCACGCTGACTAAGAAATCCAGAGTGCGGGTCCTCTGGCAGAGCCCTTGCCCTGTGCAGGGAGAGGGGGGGTGAGGGCGGCCGCTCCATACGCGCGGCGAAAGGCAGGGGTTCAGCCAGCGGCTCGCCTGAGGAGCACGTCCCAGGAATAATGTCGAGCGCCCAGAAAAGTGATTATCGAAACCACTCCTGGCCGACACACGAGCGAAGGGTCACAAGAGTATCGCCTCCCAGGTCCCGGCGCGTGAAAACCTTTACTCTCTTGGTGCCCGAAACTCCTGCTGGCGATCAAGGTTAGAACAGATTGGACATCGTAGGCGTAAACAGACAAGCGCGGCCCCCTACTCGCAAAGTAACAAACTCGCAAGTGGCCTGGATTCGCCGCGAGGGATCTTCGATCCAACACATCGAAGGGGGACATGTGCATATGTGAAGTCGTGCGAGCAAACACTCTGCGAATAGTGTTGGATCGGGCGCGTCCTCCTACAGGAGTCCCCATACCATGTTTAGCCATGTCTGGCTATTTTTTTTTAACACGCCTCCCGTAGAGGGACACGCCCGACTTACGAACAGTGGAGCGCGGGCTGTGTGCGTAAGACCCAGGCTCCCCTGAGATCCCGGCGCTGCAATTTCTGCCCCCGCGGGCGTGCTCGCCCGGAGAGCGGGGCCCCCGCGGGACCCTCGCGGATCGATCCTCCGGCTCGGAACCTGCCGCAGAGCCATGGGCTCCTGGGCTGCGAGGGTGTCATTGCTCGGCGACGCTGCCACTGTCTTGCAGCGTCGGAGCTCACAGGGCCCGGAGACTCGGGTTGGCCTGACGGGGCCGCCAAAAAAATGACGGGAGCCAGTCTGAGATTTGACGCGAACTCGCGCTGCAGACATCCCACGCAAACGCGACCGTCAAAACTCAGGCAGCGCTCGTCGACAAGCGCCAGTGTCCCGGCGAAGTCGAGTCTGATGGTTCCCCGACTCTCGGATGGGTCCCAGACATTTGGCTCCAAAAAGCACATGTGTGGGACAAGCCAAAGGATACGGGTGGAAATGCGGGCAACTGTTATACCGTGCAGCCAAAAGGCGCACGCCGTGAGGGCCGCGTGCGCTGCCTGCTGGGTCGGAAGGGTATCAAACATGCTCGCGTCATGAAAAAGCATGACGGGACTTGCTTCGCCACTCTCGCCCACTGGAGGCCCTCACAAGACCCCGGGAACGTCGAACAACGACTCAGTATGGAAAGCTAGTCCACGCGAAAGGGTCGAGACCTCTGGGGGCCGACGCTATGAAACAAAGCATGACGTCGGGGGTCTAGGGTAACCTGGCCCTCCCCGCCCACGAGCACTCGTCCATCCCTGCCTACGGGCACGCCTGCAGGCCCTCCCTGACTGCAGGCATCCACGTAGCCCAAAGGGCAACAACGGTGGGCGCTGCCCGCGGGGCCTCTCTGGCCGCGAAGGCCCGTAGGGCCGATAGGTAGGAGGCGCTCGCAGAAAGCGAGGAGCGCCGCGAAGAGGTGGGAGGGCCAGAGGGGTGGGAGCGACAAAGCTTGCCAGCAATTCTTTGCACGCTGGAGGAGGAGGAGGAGGAGGAGGAGGAGGCGAGGACGAGGAGGAGGAGGAGGAGGAGAAAGAGGAGGAGGAGGAGAAGGCGGAGGGCAAGGAGGAGGAGAAGGAGGAGGAGGAGGAAGGAGGAGGAGGAGGAGGAAGCGGATGAGGAGGAGGAGGAGGAGAAGAAGAAGGAGAAGGAAGAAGCGCGGTGTCCCTCCCAAACATCCGCCGCTTCGACGTTGCGCGTGGCCCCCCAGACTTCTAAGCCCCCTTCCCAGGGCCAGGACTTTCTTCCCAAGCCATGCTTTTGACGGCCCCGCCTTGAGCCCGAAACTTCACTCCCGGCGCCCACATACGCCGACAGGCCAGCCACCTCGATTTTGGCCTCGTGGCGCCACCACGGATGTCCGGGGGAGCTCTCCGCCACTCGGGGGCCCCCGCCTGCCGGGAGCGGCAGCGCCTGCCGCGGAGCCGCGGCGAGTCCCTCCTGCGACCCCGTCCTTCTCAGCGGCGATTCGCCCACCGAGGGCGGCGCCGCCTGCGCCCGAGCCTCGCGGAGGTCCTGCGGCCCTGACGGGCACTGCGGCGTGGGCGCCGGAGCTGCCGGACTCGCCGGCAGCAACTGCAGCACCTGAGGGATCATTTCACCTCTCCCTATCCCCACGGGCGTGGCCTGGGCCCCAGTGGACGATTTTCTCTCTCCGGATGGGGGTATAGTAGGCCGCTTCCTTCAGGTCTCGAGGGGCCTATCCCCAACCAGGGTGGTGGGGATCAGGATGGGGATGGGGATGGGATCAGGATGGGATGGGGATCAAGATGGGGATGAGAAACGGTATACCCTGTGCACGAGCTCCGGCTGGAAGGGGCCAGGGGCGGCGGCGCCCTGCAGGCCTAGCAGCGGCGGCGGCCTCACGTCGAGCAGCCCCGCTTGCAGCGGCCGAGCCAGCGACGGCCGCCCGCTGGGGGTGGCGAGCCATGGCAGCGCGGGGCCGGCCGCGCCCGCGGCGGCGACGGCTGCGCTGCCAGGGGGCTCCGCAGCGCGCGGCCCGCCAGCCTCCAGCCCCGTCGACGTCGCCGCCGCGCGCGGCGGCGACGACGGCGCCCACCTCAAGACGACCCTCAGGGCGCCCTGGTGGCAGGCCGCCGCGCCGCAGGAGGCCTGCAGCGGCGCTCCCCTGCCCGTCGGGAGCGCCCTGGCGGCCCTGGGCGGCGCCGCCCCCGCGGGGCCGCCCGCCTCGTGGGACGACGGGGCGCCACCCCGCTCCTCCGCCACGCCGCCCGCCTGCTGCTGCACTGGCGCGAGCTGCCTGTCGAAAAACCGCAGTTGCCGGACGGGCCCCTGTACTGCGAGCTCGGCGCAGGCGACGGCCGCCTCCTCGGGGCTGAGGGCGCTGCCGGTCTGCTCATCGGGCTCGGTCTGCTCCTCGGGTTCCTGGGTCGCTGGGCTCACCTCGGCGAGCCGCCTCGGCCACTGGTCGCCGGGCCTCCAGGGAGGAGTGCGGGGGCGGGGGAGGGCACCTCGCATGGGCCAGGAGCGAACAGAAACACAGGGGTCACACTGGCCGCAAGAGCCGCGGGGGCCACAACAGGGGGTCGCAATGCGCACGCGAGGAGACCGCCCTTCCGTCCCCCTTCACGTCTCCCACCCCTTCTCCTCCCTCCAGAGCCATGCCAGCGGATCCGGCAGCGTGTCCGTGGCCGCCACCGCCTCCCTCGCTGGACGCAGGCCCACGTCGGTGGTAGCGGCCCTGAGAGAAATATAGCTCCTGTGTGTCCACGCGCCCACACACACACCGCCCTCCCTCCCCCCTCCTCGCAGGGCCTCAGCTTCTCCTGCAACATCCGAGCGGCCGCGCCCAGGAGCGTCGGGGTCCGCCGCAGCACGAGCAGCGCCGCCGCCGCGGTCAGCGCCCTGGCCAGCGGCAGAGCAAGCCACGCGGTCGCCAGCCAGGACGGGCTGCTCCAGACCCACATCTCGGCCACCTCGTCG